AACATAAAGACGAATTTGGTATTCAATGCCATATTCACCGCTTCTTCAAAAGAACATAGATGCAAATGGAAGACTTCCAATCTGGCCCCGCCAGTGCGGAGGCACTTCATAAAGATGGTCTCCGCGACCGCCTTTGCGAGAGGAACGGCTTTCATCCCGGCAATGAGAGTTCTCAACTCTTTGACTCAGTCCACCAGCTCCTTCTTACCCTATAAACCGCAAGGAAATGCGAACGCACGCGGTATTCCTTATGAGGTGGCGAGAACACTCGCAAAAGCTGGCGCCGCAGCTCCTTCCAGGAGGGGAACGCCGCTCCAACAGAAGCACCGCATGTCAGTGCCCATTCTTACGATCGGGAACCGAGCTCGGTGATAGCTAGCGCCGAGTGCTGTTGCTTGTTCTGGGGCATGGCTGATGCTCGTCCTCTCTTACCCAAAGCAAGAAATTCTCTTCATCCTTACCCTCAAAGATCTTAGTGGTTTTCATGAGCGGCCTGGGTCGGGAGGAGTCATTTGTTTTGGACAGTAGCGTCATGGACGCAGTCGACGCTGACAGCTTCTGCTGTCAGTGCTCTAACAGAGCATTTTCATAATTTAAAATCGCCTCCAGGCGCTCAAATTTCGCCTCGGACCTTTCGAATCAAGGTAACCACGTCCTCAGCAGGGACATCAGCTTTCAAGCCGCATGCCCTGAGGTAAATAGAATTACTCCTCCATCCTCACAGAGGATCGGTTTAAACGACTCAAGGGTAGGGTGCTACCAAGCGCAGCGAGAGTGCCTTAGCTCTTTGCTTAATGGAAGATAAGCTAAGGTCACCGACCTATCGTACTTTACAAAAAATAGCGGATCGCAAATCGATTTCTGAGGGTACTTTAAACCTTGACCAAAGTAAGGAGGCTCTTCCGCTCAAAATTAAATCTGTATGTAATTGTTGTAGTTGCAGCAGAGTCGCCGAAATCTAAAACCTTAGGCTTTCCTAATATTTGTGGTGATGCCTAATTAATATGCTTACGGTGCACATTGTCGAAGTCACTGCAGACTACAACCTAAACGATTTCAAGTGTGATGGTGTTGCGAAGATTGTGTTGATACAGTCGAAGGTCGATTCAGCGGAAGTACACTCATCATAGATCAGTGATAGATGATTCGGTATTGAAAAATTTCGACAGCGAGTGGAATCGCTCAGATGTTCGATTTCTGGATGCTCTAACTACTCCTTATTACTCACTTGAAATACAAGACTGACGTCTTTAGTGCAAAGCCGCCTTTTTGCCTTCGACCCGATGATGGAGCTCAGAGCGAAATTGATCGTGAATTGGTTCAAAGCATTCAATGCTTCGAAAGCGGTCACTGTCGCGAGAACATCGAAAATACATCGATAAGTTTTTTGCTCCAAAAGCTAGCTGCTGTTCTGATAAGAGAGAGAGCTTATCCTCTCACAACGCGCCGAAGTTTTGTGTCAGCGCTTGCCAAATGGAAAATGGCGTATCATTCACGCCTATAACAAGTTGAATGCACAGACGATTTCCGCTAAATCGCCGATTTCACGAAAATGTCATCATCCACCGAGTGTACTTGATTTAGTTAATGTATACTACCAAATCTTGATGAGATAGGAAGACGCCTTTTGATAGCCCGTCCAGTATGTGGTTGGGGTGGCTGGAGATGGCACAAGGAATATCCAAAACCCCCAGCAACGTTCAATCGATTGGTATTCCATCTATTTCACCACTGGGACGCTTCGCCAAAACATATTTTGACGATATTTTCGTTCATTCGAAGGGCGAAGATGACTCATCTTTCGAATCAATGCACTAGGAACATCTCCGTGCGGTTTAGAAAGTAGACGTGAACATTCACTGCATGCGAAAATTCGAAGAGTTTTTTTTCGGCGTTAACAAAGTACCACTCCTCAATTGTGTGTTCGTGCAGACCCCGACAAGTCCAAAGCGACTAATGTCTCGGACTAAAAAATTTTTTAGTAGAAGGATTGGTTTGTCCAATTACCAGCATCGCTTCCCGCGTAACAACGAAGAAATGGTACGCCCATTAATAAACTTGCTGAAGCAAGACGTACCATGGGAGTGATCATCAACTTGTGAAGAAGCACTCCCTTAATTCAAGGACAGTCTGATGGAAGCGCCATTTTTTGTAAAACTAGATGATATAAAGTGCATAACGTGGTGTGTGATTTCAGCAATCGGTTGTGCACTATTGCAATAAGACTCAAAAAGATACAATCATGTCGTGTCGTTTCAAGCACAACAGCTGAGGCCAGCAGAAGAAAACCATGTCCACGACAGTGGGAACTGTCAACAAAACGTGCTATGGTGAAGTTTTGTGTTAACCCCGAAGTCTCAGCTCTGATTGTCATCAACACGGATCATGAAAGCTTGCGATATGCAGTTCAGTCTTCTCACTTGTCACGGCGGATGGCTCGCTGGCTGTCATACTTCGCGAAGACAACTCCGCGGTCGTGTACAAACCGTTTGATCTGAACGATCTAGCTAATACATTGTCACGTCGCCCGGATTATGAGCTAGCCCATATTAGCGATATCAAAATCTATGATACGTCGAGCGTATATTGAGGACGAACAGTGTGACTTGATCGTTATGGAACTCTCATCGATTGATAAAGAACTCCATGACAAGTGTCTTGTCCGCTTGAAATCATGGATGCATCTTTATGCATGGAAGGGTGCTCTTAGTTGCCATGAAGTTGCACATGGCGTCGAGTCATGAATTGTGGTTCACACACGATGATGTGAAGTACACGATCATGTATGGGGCGCGTTGTACACCGACGGCTGGTCACTGTGGCCATAAGAAGACCAGCCAATGTCTCAATGCCCAATTTGGTAGCCCTGCATGTACAAGTGCGCTGCGCGATATATGAAAACATGGGATCACTTTCAGCGTGTGATGAGAATACAGCACATGCAAGTGTCACTGCAGAGTCCCTCTGATTCTATTTCATCTAGAATACTGATAGTCACAATGAAATTCTCGTCGACAGACTCAGCATGTAGTCCGCATTGCTCCATGCAGCAATTTCATTGATTTCAAAGGTTCGGCTAGATTCTTCATCAGAACTTCGTTTTTTGCAAGCAAAGGTTGTCAGTTTGGATTATAATCTAAGAATCAAATTGTTTTCTGAGAATATTTGATTCGAGTTCTTGACAGGCGCTTGGATATGTCTACAGTGGTACACCCGGCGACTAATAGGCGAACAGGGCGGGCCAACCGAGTGGTCGGTGATGTGTTGAGAATCTTCTGCACGATAAATTCCGCAGAATGGAGTTTGTGATTACCATTGATCGAGTTTGCTATGAACAATTTGGTGCATCCATCCACTGAATTAACACCATTTTTTAAAATTGGCTTACGACACCCACTTTGTGCGTTGGGTAGCGTCTCCGATTCAAGTAAGGTAGGAGCTGGCAAACAGTTGCTTTTCAAATTTATACAATCAATGATCCGAAGGTGAAGCGCAAGTGCAAGCACGCCACTGGCTTATTCATCATTAGTCATCTGAATGTGATCACACGGGTTGGAGATGCAATGACCAATGCACAAGATTCACAAAAGAATACGCAAGTAGACGAGGCTGTCAAGGCAAAGTGTCTTTTACTGCTGAAATTTATAAGCTACTTAACACTAAGAACTTATCAGATGCGGTCGCAAGCTTGGGAAGTTGGAAGCTATCACCTCGCTTCAGCGGTGTATTCCAAGAAGTGTCATGGATTGGGATGTTTCCTCTATCGACCAGCCATACCAGCTAAGGACACATCTAATGATCTACGTACGGCTTCTCGAACCCTTTTATAGCGACGACGCGATTTCTTAACTTTAACGTACCGCAGGGATGTATCAAAATGGCTTCAAATCCGCGAGGCTTAAAAGTCGAACCCCTTGGTGTCGTCGCCTCGGCATCATCTTATAAATATCTTAGATAATTATGAAATTCAGAAGCAACCAAACGATCGCGAGGGTCGGATCGTTGCCGAGAAGCATTTGGCTGCTGATCGCGTTGGCGATTACAGTGGGAAGCATATCCACAAGAACCAGAGCGAGGTCAATTGGCAGGAAGCTTCAAATCATCAGCAGTAGCAGCCGCAGCAGTAGGGAAATCTTCTCCAATTGCTGAACGAGATTCTCGATTGCGTCCCCGGGCTAGCTTTCAGGACCTAATGCGAGCCTGCAGACTTCGCAAACGACTCGTCGAGCATTTTCCACTCGTTATCGCGCCCTCGACACCCCATCGAAGACCTCGATCATTTGCCGATTTACCAACGAAAGGAGTGTCTCCATCTTCATCAAGTGCAATTCCAAATCAGACAAAGATTGTGGAGTAATCACAAATGAAGCTGTGAGAACACTTTCTTCGGGCATGTCCCCTCTTTTCGATCGAAATAGAAACTGAGAGCGACGTTCGCGGTCGGATGAAGCTCTTGTTGAAATGGCTGGGTTATCCAGCAAACGAAAATACGCAGAAAGTTGTAGTCGTATCCTTCGCGACTGTCCCGATATTGTTCTCGCCTTCGATGCGAGATAGAATCCAGGTAGGGAGGTTCGACCTTTCCTCTTTTCTATACCTCCCTTTCGTCGTGAACTCGACTATTAGACAGTGTGGTGCGGGCTCTGTCTCCAGATGTCGAGTTCGATTGTGCAAATCCGTGTGACACAAAATGCTCTTTACTACCTAAAAGTCGAAAGCAATTTGGTCATGTCAAGTAATTGTTTGTCTCGGCGCTGAATATCTGTGTCAGAAGGTAAAAACAAGCCAAAAGGTGAGTAGATGAATCACCCTCACAGTAACTACTTCAGGAGAGGTGCTAAGAGATAGACATGGTTTGCTCCAGATGCTATCCAATGCACCAGCTTCAATCAATTTTTAGTGAGGCAATTGTTTTGGCTTCACCGTACATATGAACGAACGAAATATGTCAATGTCGGGATGTCGATGTCGATATCATTACCGAAAGCTTGAGAGCTGCGCTACAACAAATTCGCATAAATTCTCAATCCAGCAATGTGGGCAGCTTTTTTTTTGCCACTGATGTAAAAATGGTCTTCGAGCAGATCACACAACGATCCAGCCACAGTAGATTGACTGCTGCCGCCATTAAAAGGGATCTATGAAAGTACTTGACATCTGAAACCTTTCTAGGCGGAGATCAGAAACAGGCTCAAGTCCAATCCCCTTCTCAATATTTGCGGCTTGGAATCAAATGCCGTCTTTTGGCGGTACTGTCTAAAACCTGTCTTCATCACCTTGTGCTCGCACATTACAGGCGAACCTGCGCAACTTTACCATATACTGCGCAGCAACTTGATTGAGCGCAACGTACGAAGCTTCAACGGATTAGGCCTCCCTCGTGCGAAGTTTTTTATGCAGATCTTGAAGCTGCTCATTGATGTTCGATTTTCAATTCACTAAACTTTGCCCAGATTTGTCGCCGAGCGAAGCTGGTTACAAATGTTTTATGCTCTACGCTTTACGCTCAATAGACTACATGACATGTGGTTCCTTGAAACGAAACAAGGAATTTTTTGTTGCCGCGACCGTGCAGCTGAGCTGCCGACTTGAAGCTGAACATATCAGTGAGGTTTTACCAGCTTGCTTCGGATTTTGCGTCGTGAAAGAACTGGTCGCACAACGGCTCGGACAGTAACACGGAGTCCAAAAAGATTTTAGAGGCGTCGGGCCATTGAACACTCGCATGGTATTCCATCAGCTAATCAATGTGAAAGATGCCTTCATGATATGGGCGCACATATACCTCCTTATTTTAGAAAGTCCATGGTGACGAGTCGCAATAGAAAATACAATCTTCCAACTTGTAAAATGTAATGTCCTTGTTCTAATCCTTTCAACTGCAGAAATGCCCTTCTTAATTGTCTGTGGGTTTTCCGCTTTGAAAATAAAGTCAGTCTGGTGTCGTTATTGTGTTTTGGTGTCGCCAGAATTTAATTTTATTATTTAAAAATTAATTTCACGACTAAAAGCTACTTTTTAAAGTGTGATTGTATCAATTTCAGGCTACACCATCCCGGTATTTAAATTTGTGCCAGGGTAAAGTACAAGCCTGACCGGCAACGTGTGCTAGTGAACACGCATATATGGCTTCCTCATCTCATATTGCACTGGCGGCTTCAAGCATAGACAACGGCGTTTAGATCAGACGCATATCTATTGCGTAATCGAAAGATTTGAGAAACAAACGCTTTTAACTTAACCTTGAATGCTGTTATAATTACGTTTTTCGAAGTGCGCTTGTTTTAAGGCCTGCTGTATTTAGCACGGATTCACTTGATGCACAACGCGTTGTGGTACCCCCTTCAAATACAGATATATGTATGATGCACATGACACTTTTCCTGGAAGACATCGTGTGAGGGAGAATACTTGAGGCATTGTGCAGATGACTCTTTCTAAATGGATGATAAGTGCTTATGTATGCGTGTGTGAGACACGTCAAAGAGAGAAGCATCCCGCATGCAACGGTCCGTCAGCAACTTTGGCATAGTCATTTTTTTGTATGGATAATATGCAGACGCACAGGTAACAATATATGGATTTTCAATAATACTGATTGAAAAAACAGAAATCTCGCTACCCGGTGCCTGTGAATATACAGTAAGATGCGTATAACTCGAATGGAGACTTTTTAAAGTCAATATTTCAAGAAATTTGGTACACCATATTCGATATATTGAATGCGGACCATCCAGACACCAATGGTTAAAGGTACTGCGTTAATAGCATCGTGATTGATTTACACGCGCAAATCGACGACATCGCTCGAGCGACATGCCATTTATATGGTCTAACAAACTCCACGTGATTTTGAAACTTTTACGAAATAATTTTTGCTTGAATGGAATTGATTCTACTCTTCTTGTTAATATCAGTCCAATCGCACTTTGAAGCAAAACAACGGTTCAATCTCAAAGAGGTTGAGCCTCATAAGACAAGCGCGTGGTACTGAGGCTGCAGCTAAGACATGAAGACGAATTATTTTCGCCACGAGAAGAAGATTTGGCGGATGAAGAGCAGAGGATGTGGACAACTTTTGTTGCTGTAGATGAAAAGCATGAGAATTGACGACTGGAAAATTTATATGAAGTCGACAATGTTTAAGAAGACATGCGTTTGACACTGTATACAATTAACGAGCGGCGACAGCAACTAGTTGATTTTATAAATCAGATTCCGTACAGATATGGATAGTCGGTACGTGAACTATGCGGAGATCGACGCATATGAGTCACTGGACGACTTAGCTGATATGCAACGCGACACTGAAGATCGCTGCTTTGCCGAACAGGAAAATTAATGAAGCTTGATTGTAGACATTATTCTAAGCAATATTGTTTGTTCAAGTTGTGTTTTGTATTTTCTGTGCAGCGTCATATCCAAGCCTACACAAAATATCACGAAACAGTATGAGTGGTGACCCCCAGAAACCTTGACATGTGGATCTTACATACTTTTCTCTGTCAAGAAGTGCCACCGAAATTTGGCATGAAGTGTACGTTTCCAGTAAATTACTGACAAAAGGTGTCTCGTACTTTTCATCCTGATCGTATTGAGTAATTCATTAGTTCAGATGAAACAGAAGTCGTTAAATCAGCTTTTTAATTTGAAGACCTTTTCTAGCGCACGAACCGGCGCGAGTAGATTGAAAAAGATGTATCTTAACATTTTATTATAGCAACCTCGAAAGCGGCATTCTTAAATCCTGATAACCTCAACAGGCGATACCACGGCCGCCATCTTTTCGACTCTTGACACACATCTATGGTTGTAAAGTGCAGCATGGGATGTGTATCAAAAGTGGAAATCAAGCAGAAATGCAATAGGTAGCCACTCAGTAGCCAACAATACAATGTTTTTTCTCGCTTGAGTCCATTGCAAATCGCTCAAGAATTACGCAAATGCTGATGAAGTCAACGTACTACATGTTATTAAAATTGACAGCGATGGAAAAGTTCGATTGAGTGAACATGTAAACGTTATTGGAGTCTCCGTACATTGCTTAAGCACGCACACCGAAATATTGTTTTTCCTCAGATCAAGATCGAAACACACTTTGCCTTTAAATTCAGTAGTCATAGAAGCACTGAAGGAGTTTAGAATGTGAGGACGCTAGTGCCACGCATTCTTATGCAGGATGAAGAAAGACACGATCAATTGCAAAATGTACTCGAAAATCAAGTAAATTTGCAGCCTTAATAGCGCGCTGAATAAGCGAATATATTAGCGAAACATGAGCGCGAGCATTAAGAGGCATACGATCGATCAAAGCGCATTCAGCTCTGTAGCCTAAAACAACCACACGAAAGAATAATTACGCTGTCAAGAAAAGAAGAAAACCTCTGTCACGTCGTCATCGATGACAAGGCCGTGAGTCCAATGACCGCTTATGCTGCTTTCTTGATCTCTTCTTCGACTTCAACAATGTGATTTATATGCAATGCATCGTGATAGCTATTGTGGTCGCATACAACCTATAAAAACAATCCTTTCAGCGCCAAGACGAAAACATTTAGTCTGATCGAGCACCACTCTTTTCGGGATTCATTATTCACCAGCAGGTAGCTCCCATACGAATTTATGAGATCGCTCTTAGGGACGTCAACCAGGTTGCTCTTGGGGTCGGCCACCAGATCGCTCTTAGGGTCGTCCACCAGATTGCTCTTATAGTCCTCCGTTTGCACAAGAATTTGCGACAAAATCATCGCTTGTCACGCCTCGAGACTTCTTAAACTCGAAAGCATTATTATGCGTGATAGTATGCCAGGTATTCGTCTTAGATCGATGATTCTCTGAGCCTTGATCACGTTCAGGAGGAAAGCAAAGCAGCCTTTAATTCGTCCAGCACAGTCCGAGTTTCGAATCTGCGGCCGTCCCCTCCGTAATTTTCGTATCAGTCACGCCGAATATTTCATTCACCGGATCTAAGGCCGCACAGATACTATTAATCGGTGGCTTGAGCTCTTCCAAATTTTTGAAATATCGAAGTTTATGGCGAGAAATCCAAAATCGATTCTCACAGTAAATGATATGCCTTCAGAAGCAACGTGCTTATATCGCGAGATATCAAAATGCTTACTTGTCAGTATAACCTCTTTTGTTCATTCTTTCTTCATCTTGAAATGTGTTCTTTTGTGCTTTGGATGTCACAAGTATACGGACGACCCTCTCAAGCGGCGGGTCGTCAATATCTTCCCGCGATAAAAATCATTGTCGTAGATATGACGGGTTTGGCTTTCTCGACAACGTAAATGTTGATAGTTACGACAGCATCAAGAAGCAGCAAAGCTATGATGCACCAAACAGTTTCATGCATAGCTTTCAAAATCGTTTTTCAGTCGGTGGCTAACGGACGGATCCAGAAATAAGATACGTGAGCCTTATGCAAAAGCATATTTAAAGTCAAGCTATTAATCAATTTCGACGTCCGTTCACAGCCAATTCTATATTGGCAAAACCAAGAGAAAAGAATCTTGAGCAAACGAGCCAATCTTTCATCAGAACTTTCAAGAGGCATGTTCTCGATTGCGAGTTAGATTGCTACATTTGCTGACTGCAAGACAAAACTGTTGGATGCTACGTGCAGTCTCCTCCACGTTATTGCTATCGAAATGTCAAAAGTACAGTCTCGCAGCTAGTGAAATAAATTAAAGCCTTTGTGTGCGGAAGATACTCTAGAGTGCTAACCTTGACAGGATGCTAGCAAACAACTCCTTTTAGGTGTAAAGAATCCCCAAAATACTTGGCTCGCACTTTGAACGCGAAAAGAGATGAATTAAAGCGTTATGATATTCGACAATTATGGATTTAGGCAGACATGCTTTGTGTCCTGTTTAAATTTCAGTATTTGGAAGCCCGCACTTGGCAACACGAAGGCAATGTCATGTCGACAAATCTCACAAGAACGCACCGCAAAATGATCAGGATCAGGAACGGGATTAGGATCGGGATCATTTGAACACACAACAAAATTTTGATATTTTCTCGGTAATTGTGATTTTTGTGGCTGTGTTGGCTACAGGGTATGCCGTATTGCAGATATTGTCAATATATTTGCCGACAACCAGAAATTCTTGCGAAAAGTCCAGTATCCTCCATCCTGGAGCACAGTAGTAGCTACTTGACTTCCAAAAAAAAAGTGGATCGCCCTTCTAAATGAAGTTGAATGGATCGCAAATCATCGTACTTACTAATTCGACACCTTGAGGCTGATAATCCCCCAGCGCGCTGGATTGCTCGCGGTAGCTATTTTTCACAGTAGTGATTCCGGTAGCGACTTTTGCAATCGATCAAATTTTGCAAAGCAAAGTAAAGATATTGCGGCATTTTCAATCATATGTGACACCGATTTTCATGCTTTGGATCCTTCAGATAAACCACAAATGCTCAAGTTGTGGAACGAAATTCTTGCAGAGAACATTAAATATGCTTGCGATAGTTAAAGTACACGATGAGCTGTCAATGTGGAATTTCAACACTGCGAGTACCCTTGTTGACCTCGCGAGTCTGGCACTCTATTGCGTGAACACAGTTGAGTCGATGCTTGAGCTATGTATTGTTGTGAAATAAGCAGAGCCATAAATTGACAGACCGAGGACCTCATACCCTGAGCACAACAGACTTTATGCCGCCAACTTTGCCGCATGTATTTGCGCAGCTTATTGAGCGCGGCTTTACATCTTTCTTGAAGACGTTTGACACTACAATGTACACCATTTCACGGAAATGGCATTGATCTATTGAAAAAAGAGGTTCAAAATTTACGTCGTAATGCCAATCGCGAGCCTGTTCTTCAACCTGTATATGCAAAATGTCATACATACATATGATTTGAAGAAGCATGGGCTATTGTCGAAGTTCTAGAAGAGGATTTACTACAATCTGCACGGACAGGACATTGGCAACTCGCACAGTAAAGC